CATATAAACTCAGAAGACTCGTGTAGGTTCACTGGTGGTTCTGGATAGTAAATAAAATGTCTATATTTGTGTTGTAGTCATGGCGACGCCTGGTTCCTATCACCACCACTGTAAAGAAATGACCTGGCTGAAGGACTGTGTTTATAATTAAGGGGGGGATCTGTGTAAATGAGGTTTTTAACAGAGCTACTCCTTTAACCCCACTGAGGTTTCGGTGACTGTCAGCTCAGTGGAGAGTCGATCACATGCTTCTGGAACAGAATGTTCTGGTATTTCGTTTCTCTCCGAGATTAATAAAATAGCTGAACATGGTGACCTCGAGGGCCGAGCAGTTGTTAAAACAATCTCCTCCACCTCCATCTCTCAGGGATTTTTTGGACGTCTGGATCCGCGCTCCGCTCCAAGTTCAAATTCCACATCTGATATTAAAAATTGCACACGGGCTGTTTGTCGGAGTCAGCATTTGGCCGGCCTCGGACAAGGACAGACGGCCCAAATTCTGAAACTGGTTCTGACTTCGGTTCCAAAATGTAACTGAACTCCAGCGATGCGGAAAGAGCGTTTTTTTTCTTTCCTTGTCTTTTGTTTTTGAGGGCTGTAGATCACTGAAGGTGGATCGTGTGTATTCAGACAATAGACTCCCTTATAAAGATCGCTGATGTTGTAGTTCTGTTGTAATTAAAGCAGCTGCTGAAGTTTATTTTTTCACCCTGACAGCTTGTTCCACATTTCAGCCCGGAATACTTTCTGAATGAGGCACAACATGGGGCAGCCAATCAGAACAGAGCTCATTTGCATGCAGTCATCTGCAAAAGTTTGAAATGACACGTTTTGTCGACTTTAAGCGAAAGTGAGGTTCAGATTTTCTGCTAATTTAAGTGCAAAACTATTGCACTTAAAACTACTGTGCTAAGTTTAATACATTAGAAAAATAAATAATCAATAATAAATAATCAATATAAAACTTGCACAGGCCAAAGTATGTATGTTAAATTCAGCAAATAAACAGTAATTGTGCATGAAAATGTGCAGACGTGTGTCTCTGTAGAGGACGTGTTCACTTATTTACCCTTAGAACATCAATAAAACATGGACCAGGGGTGCACAAACATTTGCACACGACTGTACGTCAACCGTCCACTTCATTAGGTCCACCTTATTTCATTCACTGTGCATTTTATCGCCTCTACTGACCACATAGGAGCACTTTTGCACACTCTTTAAAAAGATGGTTCCTCAAGGGTTCCTCAGTAAATACAATGGTTCTATCGAGATGCTTACATGGGTCTTATGTTGCATTTGGTTCTACATAGAACCTTTTTGATAATGGTTCTATGTAGCACCAAAAAGCGTTCTTCTATTATTACAAGCTTGATACTGTAACAGTAACAGAACCTCTATACAGAACCACGAACACTCAAAGAACCCTTTGCATAGCGAAAGCGTTCTTCAGACTGATGGAGAATGAGTTATACATGGTTCTATATGGAACCTTACAATTACAGTTACACAATTATATAATTTAATATATTGGAAAACAGTGTCTCGGTAGAGGATGTGTAAACTTATTCACACTCAGAAACACAAGTACATGGAACTTGACCACGGGTGCACAAACTTTTGCACACAACTGTACACTGGCTGTCCACCTCCTTGTTTCTACACTCGCTGTCCATTTTATTAGCCCGACTGACCATACAGCAGCACATCTGCACACTCTTTAAAAAGATGGTTCTTCAAGGGTTCTTTAGTGAAGACAGTGGTTCTATATAGAACCTTTTGTATGATTAAATGCTTCTTCTTCGTTCATCAGATTGATTGAGGATGTGTTGTATATGGTTCTGTATAGAACCTTATTGAAAATGGTGCTGTATAGCACCGAAAAGGGTTCTTCTATTGTTACAAGCTTGACATCGTAACAACAGCAGAACCTTTTTTGGTGCTCCATGCTTAAAAAAACGATGGCTCTTTTAAAAACTGAAGGGGCCATATTAAAAAATCTCAACAAATCTGTGGAACCCAGAAAAAATATATTTTCTATTTCATTTTTAACTAACGTGTTGCTGTAACATGAAGTGGCCACTGTTTATTCAAAATACACAAAAACTTCAGCAGTAAAATACAGACACTTGTAGTAGACCCTGAAATATTACATGAATACTTAAAATATTCTAAATGTAAACATCCCCAGGAGCTCAGTCTTTCCAACATACCCACTTGTTTGAACTAGACCCCTGGAATCCTTTATTTCTGCAAGTTCATTAACACTTGGGCTCAGTTTCTGGGCTAATGTTAAGTGTTTATATAGGCTGAAAGTGTGTTTGGTGATAAGACTGGTGCGGAATTGTGTAGAATTGTGTAGAACTGAGGTGTAACCGCTGTCCCATAGACTGTTGTTGGGGTAGGAGAGTCAGAGCACACATAATGTTCAGATTAATTAAGATTAAGTGACCCTTATAAGTCCCACAATGGGGAAATTTCACCTCTGCATTTTAACCCATCCGTGCAGTGAAACACCCACATACACACTAGTGAACCCACACACACTAGGGGGCAGTGAGCACACTTGCCCGGAGCGGTGGGCAGCCCTATCCACAGCGCCCAGGGAGCAGTTGGGGTTAGGTGCCCAAGGGCACTTCAGTCACGTACTGTCAGCTCAGGGGATCGAACTGGCGGCCTTCTGGTTCACAAGGCTGCCCCAAAATGTTGCAGAGCATGCTGGGGACTGTAGTGCAGCGCACTGTGAAACGAGCTAACATTAATAGAAAATCGAAATACTTTTGCGGGCTGGATGGGATTGTGTCACGGGCCCGATCTGGCCTGCGGGCCTTGGGTTTGACATATTGGATATAGGGAAAATATAAATCATCAAAAATAAAAGTTCTGCACAGATGATTTATGTTTTCTTTTCTTCCAATATGTTAAATTCAGAAAACAAACAGTAATTGTGGGTCTCCGTAGAGGACGTGTTAACTTATTCACACTCAGAAATACAACACATACATGGAACTTGACGGGTGCACAAACTTTTGCACACAACCGTACACTGACTGTCCACTTCATTAAGTCCACCTCCTTGTTTCTACACTCACTGTCCATTTTATCAGCTCCACTGACCATACAGCAGCACTTCTGTACACTCTTAAAAAAGATGGTTCTTCAAGGGCTCTTCAATAAAAAAATGGTTCTATATAGCACAATTTGCATGCGTACTTTGTTCTTGCATGCAGAAATATTTTTCTCAGATTGATTGAGACTGTTGTATATGGTTCTATATAGAACCTTTTTGACAATGATGCTGTATAGCAGCAAAAAGAGTTCAACCTTGACATTGTAACAGTAACAGAACCCATTTTGGTGCTACATACTTAAAAAAGCTGGTTCTTCAAAGGCAGAAAATGGTGATTTACAGAACCATGAACACTCAAATAACCCTTTTGCATAATTAAAGGGTTCCTTACATCGTGAAAGAGTTCCCCAGATTATATATGGTTGTACGCAGAACCTTTATGAAAAGGGTTCTTGACATTGTAACAATAGCAGAACCCCTTTTTGGTGCTATGTAGAACCATATTCAACATATTCTCCATCAATCTGTAGAACCATTTCACCATGCAAAGAACCAAAATGTTTTTTTTCAGTGTTCATGGTTCCACATAGAACCATTTTCTTTACTAAAGAACCCTTAAAGAACCATCTTTGTGTAGTGAGTGTGGTTCCATTCTGTAGTCCATCTGTTTCTCTGCATAATGTGTTAGCCTGTTCTTCAGTGGTCAGGACCCCCATGGACCCTCACAGAGCAGGTCCTATTTGGGTGGTGGATCATTCTCAGCACTGCAGTAACACTGACGTGGTGGTGGTGTGTTAGTGTGTGTTGTGCTGGTCTGAGTGGATCAGACACAGCCGTGCTGCTGGAGTTTTAAACACCTCAGTGTCACTGCTGGACTGAGAATAGTCCACCAACCAAAAATATCCAGCCAACAGCGTCCTGTGGGCAGCGTCCTGTGACCACTGATGAAGGACTAGAGGATGACCAGCACAATCTGTGCAGCAGCAGATGAGCTACAGTCTCTGACTTTACATCTACAAGGTGGACCGACAAGGTAGGAGTGTCTAATAGAGTGGACAGTGAGTGGACACAGTGTTTAAAAACTCCAGCAGCACTTTAGCAGCATATTTATATTCCAGGTAGTTGCTATGGTGTAAAGAATCCCGCAAAATGTAATGGTTCTAGCTTGAAAGCTGTGAGAGGAGTAGCAGTGCAAATTTTCATCCACAGAGTAATAATAATGATAAGAAAACGAAGAACAGTGAGTGTGTTTACATGCACTCAATGCGCAGTACTGGAAATAAGCGAGCAGCGTCGCCGCGAGACACAGCAAAACACGTTTGGAGCGACGCGAAACCAAATACATGATTGACGAAATGAAGGATTTAAATATTCTTCATCTTCTAAATGACGCATGTCTTTTTTAAAATAGCCGCAGTATGAAGTTTGAGTTTTACAATACGTTTACATCACGTCTTCTTCTGTGAGCTTATTGGCTGGTTGCAAAGCAGAAATCCGATTACTGTCTGACTCATGTAGACCCGGAGTTTCCCCATTATCTGATAACTCAAGAGCAAATAAACACGTTGATCGGATTACTGACAAAATCTGATTTTCTGCATTATCAGATTATTAAGCGCACGTAAACACACTCAGTGAGTTGGCTTTTTCCTGCCATCTTAGCCCTTGTGTGGTGTTGGTGTGTTTGTTACTCAGTGGTCTGCTGGACCCACCACATTATTGTTTATTAAATCAATATAGTCATAACAATTTATGGAGTTATTTTATATGTTCTTCACAGAAAATGAGCAAAGGACAAGAATCTGAGGTTGAAATAATAATAAATCGCATCATTTTTTCTTTTGGTAAACATTGAAAATGAGTCCCACAGACCTGAACACCACACAAGGGTTAATGAAGAGGGAAGCGACGACTGGCTGTGATCTCTTACCTGTGAAAGTGTTTGTGGCTGGATAATCATCTGTCTGCATACTGCTGCTGCAGGAACGCTTCTGCAAGGCAGCTTTAACCAGTCCAGCAGAGAGAGCTCGGGGTCACGGGGCGCAGCCGGACGTCCTTCATTGTGGTTCCTCTGGTTTAAAATCTCGATCTCGGCTTCAACGCGCAGAACCGAACTGGACCAGGCTGAACTACAGAGGCAGGGGGCGCTACACTGGACTCTTACAAGGGCTTTCTGTCCTCCATGGATAAAGTGCCATGGCCTACAACATGAAGGGTCAGCGGAGAGTTTTCAGCTGGCTCTGTCTGACTCCGAGGTCCCGTCCAGTCTGCCAACGACACCATTCCGTCCTCAGGAACACGTGAGCTTCATTTTAGGTGAAATAACTGAAAGAAACAGAGAAAGAGATGGAAAAAAAACACAGAGGAATGAGTGAGGGTGGGTGGTGGGTGGGGGGGGGTGGTTAAAATATGACCAAAACACAAAGAGATCTGAACGAAAGCTGACCCTTTTCCTTTGGCCTGGATTTTTAGGAAGTGAGCGATATGGAGACTATGCAGGATGGAATTCGGAGAGAGAGGGAGAGAGAGAGAGAGAGAGAGAAAGAAGGTTCCCCCCAACCACAAAAGAACTTTTTTATTTGTTCAGATGCAAACCCACAGCAGGGAGGCACTTTGAAGTCTAAAGATAAGCACGACTGGAGGTGGCGCGTACCTCCACAACACCAAATCATGAATCTCCACTTCAAACGGAACGGAGCCCACTGATCACGCGGTGAATGAAACAGAGTTTGGAGGCAGCAACACTGTACTTAGTCACTATCACAGCGAAGGCAAAGGTCTGCTTATGCCATCATACGGACAGCAGTGTTAATACACATAAATCACATTCACCCCAAATGTAACTGATCAGCCAAGTCACGGTTGGTGTTTGAAGTTTGCTACAAGGCTATTGTGGCTAACAAGCAATGGAAGCTACTTAGCATCAACAAACTGAATGGTGCTAACTGCATGGCTACATCATTACATATTCGCCCCAAAATCATGTGGAGGTGTTCAGCATCTCTGATAGACCTGATTATGTGGTTTCTGACACTGTAAAGCTTTGGGTTCACTACACGACTTTTAAAGTCTTAACAGATCATAACAAACTGACCGTTTTTTTTGGGCGGCTGAAATATTGAGGATCCACACTAAACAATCAGGGATCTCACACTCCTCGACTGAACGGAACTTACTGGAGTCACGCGAACTCTCAAGAACTCTTGTGTTCTCCCGTTACTAGGAGACGCAAATAAACAAACGTGAGCTGCTGCTGCTGTTTTCTCTGCCGTTTGCTCTGACGCAGTAAAGAAGCAGCAGGTAGAGGAAGCATGTTTAAGTAGATCATGCATTTACAAATGTGATCAGTTTGGTATTTTTAGAGTTTTAAATGTACATAAACTTGATTTTGCCTTAAAATCAGCTAATTAAAAAGCTTCGCTCCACACATGAGCGTCTTTTCCCCAGTTTTCTTTGTTTACTTGATGTGTTTTCTTCTTTCGCGCTCTCTGCTTTCATTGGCTGCTGCAGGAATCCATTCAGATTGAGTTGTTAACCAGTTTACACTAGATCGAAAAAATTAAACATTTGATAAACTCCAACTGGTCTGAAACACAATCAGGAGGAAAGAAATCTGAGTCTGCGCTCCTCAAACACAACTTGACTCTCTCTCCAACTGTCGACTCCGACTGACCCATCTGCAGACTAGAGCCGACCAGTTCAGACTCGGCCAGACTGAGAATCGGGGCTAAAATCGGGGTAAAAGCCGTGACTCAAAACTCACTGTTATCTATAAACATCCTGCTAGAAAAACTAGCATAGTTGTGTTTTGTTGTGTTTTGGATGCTTGTATGCAACTAGCATGATCATAAAGGCTGACCAACTAAACCAGCACCAGACCAGCATAGACCAGCTCAGACCACCTTGGAGTGCATGCTGGTCTAAGCTGGTCTGGTGCTGGTTTAGCTGGTCAGCCAGCATTGTTACCAGCATCCAAAACACAAAATCTGCTGGTTTTGCTGGTGACCAGCCGATGTAGGCTAATGTAGCTAACAAGCCATTGAAGACTATACTCCACCAATTAGCCACTGTATGACATCCTGTTATCTAGAACACATGCTAAAAGCAGTGGAAAGAGTTTAGCTTAGTGTTAGACAAAACACCACTTTTCATCTTTATGTTCCACTCACAGGCCAATTCACTTACTTTTCCTTCATTTCTGTCCTTCGTTATCCTTCAAAAACTTGTTTAGTAAGTAATTACAACAGCAAAATCATTAATAAACCTGGTTTTACAGCTTTAACTAATACAGCACAGTGTTAGCAACAACATTTTCAACTAAATCATTTTATATTACTTATTTTTTTCAATTGTTTGTAATATTTGTCTTAGTTTATTCTCCAAAATAAAAGGCTCCGCACATTTAAAAATTGGTTGAGGAGATTAAAAACTAGATCTTGCATGCAGGACAGTAATCTGGGTGGTCCGAGGTTGGACCAGCAGTGGCGTACAGTTAGCCGGGTGCCTCCAGACATATGTTTGCTATCTGGGTAGTAGCTAATGTTAGTTAACTGTATGAAAGAATTCTGTAAGCCTCACCTTTTGAAGTACAGACTGAGCCATAAAACTGCTGCAATATCAAGTTCAGCTCAGTTTGGTCAGTTTTTGCCAGATCAGTATTAATGTTGTTTTGTTCCAGCCAGTCTGTAAAGCATCTTACAGCCCATTTAGTTTGGCAAATGGTGTTGGGTTCATTTCTGGCTGATTCCAGGTTGTTTAGCTGTTCTTCTGTCACAGCTGCCGACTGAAAAGCTGCTCAGTGGTGATGACAGTTTGGGAATTTAGTGTCGTCTCATCTTCAGAGTCTGACCAAATCGGCTGTCGGTCAAATGTGATCTTGAAAGTGTCCATTTTCTGTTTGTGGCAAAGTAAGAAGTAAATACATTGAAATGGCTTGTGCGTCTCCTACAGCTGTCAAAGTTGTTGCTTAGCAACGGCGACTCAGCGGAGTGATACAGTGTTTGTGAAAAACCTGTGATGTTATGGCGAAATAACAGCATGATTAGAACGCTCCTCAACCAATCAGCTCGCGCGGCCTGAACTAACTGTTGTATAATGAGGTATATATAATAAGCACGCAGTACATGCTGTAGAGATATTGTACACATTGCCTGACACTGAGTTTGTCCTGAGGACGGTTTTGTTCATATCCTGACTGACAGCTCCGATATGAGCCGCTACGCTGGTCTCGCTCGTCTCGCTCGTCTTGCTCGTCTCCTCTCCTCTCGTCTCCCTCATGCTGGGGACAGTTCCTCCTTGTGTCAGCATTCTCCCCCCCGTATCTCTCTCTGGAGATCAGCCAGCGCTGCGCGGCTCGCCCAGAGGAGCTGGAAATGGGAGATAGCGCCGGCGGAGCTGAGCGAGCCTGGGTGAGTAACTAACACACCGGGATTGATCAGAGTCATCTGGCCCATTACCAGCAGGAGAAACATCAGAACTTCCTGAAAGCCCCTTCTGAGTCACCGACATCATTTACAGTGTGTTTCTAACCGCATAATGAGAGAACGCTCACGGTGGCTGTTCTGCAGGGCTGAAAAACAACTGCTTCAAAAGGCCTAAAAGGGCCAAACAATGGACACTTTGCTCCCAAGATGCTTAGAAAAATGCAGCAGAAAGCCTAATGATTTCACTAATAATGGGCGAATGACGGGCATCGCTGGATTTAAACTGTACTAGTACTGCTGTAATACTTTGGTTGCAAACAAATTATCCAAATATCCAGCCAAGCAAGCTCTGCCATTGGTCAGGGCTTCAGGAGCTGGACTGAAGGCCTTACACATTAGATTAACTACCAACATAATTAGGAATCAACCAATCACGCTTTAGTGAGAAGAAATGTCACTCTAGTCCTACTGGAAGTTCTAGATACATCACTGAGTGTCAATACGAGCCGTAGTCTAAGCAGTGTTCCGGTTAGTTGTTAGGAATGTAAAACAGCGGCGGCAGCTCTATGTCAGAACTCTGTACTGAAAGAGTCTCTGTAAAACTGATACATACTAGCTCGGATATATGATAATGTCTGTTACAAGCTTCAAATAAAACACGAAATAAAATTTTCAAGCTTCAAATGTAATCTTGCAACAATTTATAACATTATTATTATTATTATTATATATTTAATTATATTGTATTTTATACTATATACATATATACAATTTAGCACTACAATTTAATCACAATTCAATTATTAATAATTATTATTAACAGCTTAATGCTATCATACCCATAGAGGGGCTAGCAGAAAGTAGCATTATCATAAATGTGTTCTGACATTTATGGCCAGAACCGAAGAACTAGCTCTTTCAGTCACAGTTGACCACTGATTGTACTCGTCGCAGTTTTAGCTGGTTTGTATATGTGTTCAAAGAAGTAGTCTGTGATAACTGTTTATTTAAAAAAGCTGACAGGAGAACTATGTTCTAGACTGGTACTGAGCGTGGAGGCTAACTGTAGATACAGTAGAGTGTACATCAACATTGCTATTCAGCCAAGTTAGCTACACTCTTAAAAAAAGATGGTTCTTCAATGGTTCGTTAGTAAATGGTTCTATGTAGAACCATGAGTTCTATGTAGAACCATTTGCATGCTCAAATGGTTCTGTGCACGGTGAAATGGTTCTTCAGATTGATGGAGAATGTCCTGTATATGGTTCTGTATAGAACCTTTTTGAAAAGCATGCAGATGGTTCTATGTAGAACTTACTAAAGAACACCTGAATAATCATCTTTTTTAAGTGTGTATATAGAACCATTGTCTTTACTAAAGAACCCTTGAAAACCATCTTTTTTAAGTGTATATATAGAACCATCATCTTTACTAAAGAACCCTTGAAAACCATCTTTTTTAAGTGTATATATAGAACCATCATCTTTACTAAAGAACCCTTGAAAACCATCTTTTTTAAGTGTATATATAGAACCATCGTCTGTACTTAAGAACCCTTGAAGAACCATATCCATCTTTTTAAAGTGTATATATATAACCACTGTCTTTACTAAAGGACCCTTGAAGAACCACCTTTTTAAGAGTGTATCTAGCTAAACAGACTACAATAGCAGGTACACTGCTGCACTGCTTGTGTTCTCACTAGAATTTAAGAACACATATTGGATCCACGGCTCCAGTAGCTTTCCCAGTGTTCACTGTGAAGGGCGTGGCCTTGGTAGGGAGTAGGGCATAGGGAGTAGGGAACAGGCGTGATCACTTCAGAAAGAAGCGCACTGCTCGAGGCTTTCTATTACATAAGACACAAGAGTCTCTTGCCATTCAGACATTAATTTCCAGGA